GATCCAAGCCCGTTCATTTTCCTGACGTGAATTGCACAGCGAAGACACCTGTTCCAATATGTCTTCATTTGTCTCCCGAGTCCGACTGCCTCTGCTCCGACGTGCGGTCTTTAAGAAACGCTTTGCTGACTGTCAGCTTTAGTGCTGTTATCCCAAAGCATTAGCTTTCACAGTTTAAATAGCTTTAGCGGGCGGGCTTGGTGTTGCATTTTATGTCACAAAAGAAAGAGAGACAGCCTGGATTTAACGCTTCTCACCTTTTCTAGCTGAAAATCTTCTTTATTCTTGTCAACACGCTGAAAATCCACATGCAGCTTCTCCAGAACATCTCTGGCTTACAGGATTGTGCATTCAAGGAGGATTATTTGATTTTGTTTGCATAAGAAAAGGTTAAAAATTAAAATCCATTGCTAGAATAAAGACAAACTTTCTTTTTGCCGTTTACACTTTTAAACAGAAAACAAATAGTTTATTTGTGGTATTTTGAGCTTTTCACAAGCCCCCAGGTATGTAACACATGCTGCTCTCCTCCAGGCCTGAAATTAAAATGTCGTTTTTCACTGTCAAAAATAGTGAGTGCAGTGTGCGTGCGTGCGTGCGTGTGTGTGTGTGTGTGTGTGTGTGTGTGTGGTGTTTTTCCCCAAGCTGTCAGCTAAAACGAGCCTTGTTTTGATCCCATCAGCATCGTGAGAATCCACGCGGTAACTCAACTGTAACACAATCCTTCCTGTAAAATACCTCCTATTTCTATATTTAAAGCTCTAAATTCCTTCCTGTCTGGTTGCTAACGGGAATGTCCCCGACAACAGAAATGGATGAAACCATTGCCATGGAAACCGCTGAAGGATTTGGAGCATCAAAAATATAGCAGTTTCTTATCACTTGTCATGTAACCAGCCAGCTTTTTGTTGTCTTTCGAAACAGTTTGGTCGTTTTTATTTATTTATTTATTTTTTTTTTGAGTGTGAAATCTTAACATCAGCAGGGATTGGATTGGAAAAGCGTTTGGAAGGAAATCTACAACCCCAGCACGTGCTGTAATGGATGCATGTTTTTTTGTTTACCATCTGAAAATAGCTGCTGAGCTTCGTTCTCTCCTGTCTGTGTTTATTCATCACTCTTAAGACTCTAAGTCTTTTGTTCTGTTGTCGAGCACATCACAGGAAGTAAGGACAAAAACATAAAAAAACTGCATCGTTTTTATGGCAGAATAATAATTATCATCACCCAAAACGGAAAAGTTGAGCTATAATGTTTTTGTCGGTATGTGTTTGATAGCAGAATTTCTTGTTGCCAATCACAACATTGCACTTGACAAAAAATGATTAGAACAACATCATTCTTCAACATATAGAAATATATAAAGATGTTTAAAACAGGCCATGTTCTTTAAATGCATTCCTTGTTTTTAATTCAATTCAATTCAACTCAAGTTTATTTATATAGAGCCAAATCACGACAAGAGTCGTCTCAAGGCATTTCACATAATAAACATTCCAATTCAGGTCAGTTCATTAAGCCAATCAGAAATAATTTTTCCTATATAAGGAACCCAGCAAATTGCATCAAGTCACTGACAAGTGTCAGTGACTATACAGCAATCCTCATACTAAGCAAGCATAAAGCGACAGTGGAGAGGAAAACTCCCTTTTAACAGGAAGAAACCTCCAGAGGATCCTGGCTCAGTATAAGCAGCCATCCTCCACGACTCACTGGGGATCGAGAAGACAGAGCACACACACACACACACACACACACACACACACACACACACACACACACACACACACACACACACACACACACACACACACACACACACACACACACACACACACACACACACACACACACACACACAAGTAATGTGTCTATTGTTATATTGTGATGTCTTAGTAAATATTCTATTTGGTGAAAGATAAACTTTATTGTATTTATCCTAGTGAATCTATAATTAAATGGATAAACCACATCCAACGTCAAGGAAAGCAAAAAGCCATTATCAGGAGAGGGAGAATGTTTTAGTGGTTAGCAGCAGTGTGCTAGTCGATGGCCCCCTCCATGAGGCCACCACAGCTCAGCAGAACATCATTGTAGCTTCTTCTGGGGAGAAAAACACTTACAGAGAAAATAAAAGTTAACAGCTGAAATAGCAGAAAATAGTACAGTTAAAGAGCAGACTGTAGAAGAAAGCAGTTGAGTGTGAAAAGTGGTCAGTGTATCCTCCAGCAGTCTAAGCCTATAGCAGCATAACTACAGAGATAACTCTGGATAACCTAGCCTTTTAGATGGAGGTATGTTGGAGTCAGGGCAAGGGAGAGCCGTCTTTACCGACTGTACACTCCACCTTTAAGGGTCGTTTCTTTTTGGATTGTTTTAGACGTGACAGTCTAAGCCTGATCTCTGCTCAAACTCATTTAAACTCAGCCTTTTGCTGTTTTTTTTTTGTTAACACCCACTCCTAATTTTACAGAATAATATTTTTGTTTGAATTCCTTAATGCACAGTGCTATAAATGAATATTTTAATTGCATATTTTTCTTTTTACTTATACTTCTTTATAGTCGTTTGCACCAACACCACTAGATATTTAGTCTTTATGCATATTTTTATCTTTCATTTGTCACCTTTATGCTGTTTGTAGCAGGGTTATGAAGCAACACCATTCTAATTCTGTGTATGTCTTACCAATGGCAGTCCTGACCAGAAAGTGAAAATGAATTGCTATTTATTAAATGCTTCCATGATGTTATTGGTTTCTATAAACATGCATTTTTTTAATTAGCACTTTCTTTATATTTTAGCATCTTAGTCACCATCATATAATAAAAGTCACGTCAAAGTGTGGCAGGAGGGCCATTTACGGCCCTCAGACCCCCATTAGCATTTCTAGAATGATTAATTTTCGTCCAGTAGGGTAGTGATGTAAATTAACACTTTTGACTATTTTTACATTGAGAATTTTTCTAATATGCCTTATTTGGACGTTTTTTAGGAGTACACAAAAAATAAATCAGAATCAGAATCGTCTTTATTGTCATTGTTTTCCAGTGACAACAGTGTAGCAGCTACTCCTTGACTGGTGCATCAGATAAAAAGGAAAACACAGTAATGTACAGTATAAAACATTTTTAAAAGCTAAAATAAGGAATACACAGGGTATTTCTCAATGTCAAGGCCAGGCGCCTTACTTACGAGGACACTGTCCTTCCTTGGTCAAAGAAAACGGTTAAATGGAATAGACTTACATCACGTGACCGTGACTTCCACGGCGATCACGTAACGTCACGTGACACGGGCGATAACGTTATATTTTATATGTATTCATTTCGATGTAAATATATAACGAGCTTTTACTTTTTAAATTGTGTATATGTTTATTAAATTAAATATGTAAGTGAGTTACTACCCGCTAGCCACCAAAGCTGCAACTACTAAGCAACTAACCAACAATACATAACTTCTTTGAATTTAAAAAAACATTTTAAATGAGCTGACTTACTTTTAAACTTGAAAATTGTCCCCAAAGTAGCTGCCGGCTTCTAATCCGCTGTCTTTTTGAAAATACTGCGGTGTGTTGTGGGTAATTTTTGACCAAGGCTAGGCTACAAGACACCTCCCGTGTGTCCTTGCTCAGCTAGCAAAACGGCTAACAAATGGAGAACACAAGCCTCGGTAGAACATGAACATTGGAACACGTCTTGGCGGCTCCTAGTGACGTATCTCCTAGGCAACCGGGGCAGGGCCAAGACATCAAGACGAGGTTCCTTGGCATTGAGAAACACCCACACAAAAGTTCTAATATAAACACATGAAAAACACAAAAATAAGAGAGCTATTAGAGATTTCTTTCTCAAAGGGCACCATCTAGAGGCCAAAAAAATGTACTGCACCTTAAGACCCTCTCGTTAGTTTTGTGATTACAGCTGGAGACAGTGATTCGGCCACTGAAGCGAGGCTTCGAGACTTGTTGGATCGGGACGTGTCCATGAAGCCCCGCTTATTTCATTTAGCAGAAAAACCACATGACTGATGACAAACGAGGCCTCGTTTACCTGCGTCATGTGACTGGTTCCTATTACGCCTACGTTATATCACAGTACAGGGTAAGGTCACCAATTTTACGGATTTCTAAAATTAAAAAACAAATCATAATTCCCAAAAAAGGGCAAAACTATAGCTTTAACTTTATTTTGACCCTCATCTTGAAAGGCTGGGACACCCCTGATCTAAAACCTTGTTTCTGATATCGGTTGTAAAAACAAGGTTAGAAAATTGCTGCGTGTAATAAACTCATTTTCCGTGTTTGTGTAAATGCAAGCAACAGTCTTATTGGTGTCAGCTGTCATTGCCGGATGTCTTGAGGCTAATTAATAGGAAGCTGTGGTGTGTGACCAAGTGTTGATTCACATCATTAATTCCCATCTAATCACAGCGGCATACCTTACACACGCTCCCTCACACACTCGTGCTCACGAAGCTCACCACAGCTGCAGGGTTTCCTCCCCCGAGGCCATCTTACAGTCCAACTTCCAGTTACTGGGTTTAGATGCAGAGATTTATCTTCCAGGCTGAGAAGAAGGTGGCAGCTTGGTTTATTTACATTCCAGGCCTTACATTTACTCACTGCTTTCTGACCCCCTCGCTCCTTCCTCTGGAGCCTCAGCCTCTTTCAGAGGTCTAGACTAGCCATTGAATTATAGTGAGTCTATGGCATGGGTTGCCTGGCAACCCAGGCAGGAGACCTGCTGATAGTGAGATTACCAAGGTCTCTGATAAAGTCCTGTCTGCTATGGATGTTTGCTTATCTTGGAGCTGTCAGAGGAAAAATGTCAGCTATTAGATCAGCCCCGCCAAACAAACGGAGGCATCTGCAACACTGCAGGTGTCTTAAATCATTACAGATTCTCATCTGAGCCAGAAGACGTCATTTAGCATCATGGGAGTCACATAAAGTGTGTGATTTTCACCTGTTTTCACTGACTCCCTCCTCTCTATAGATGGACTGTTTGGACGGTGCCAGGAGTTGGCCGGAGCAGACCTGAGCACGTACGATATCTCTTCCTCCGTGCTGCAACGCCTCAGGGTCCTCCTACAGAAACTGGCTCACCGAGGTACAAACCGCCTGTCTGTCTTTGTCCACGTCTTGTGCAGGACTCGCAGCAAAGGCCTTCATGGGAAGTGAGCCAAATAAGTCAAGCTGTCTTTCCGGCTGGCACGGCGCACCGCCGTACAGTTAGAACAGGCCATTTGACTCATGTCAGACCATTGTTTGGCCATCGTCTCCTAACTTTAGCAGCCAATCTCATTGGCTCATGTGCTGGTTGGACATTTAGAGGTAATTTTGTGGATGAGTAACGTTGAGGTGTGCTCTGTAATCACATCAGACAGTCTGTCCTGCTCGGTCGATGGCCGATAATGTGCTTGTTATAACAGGTTACTGCTCCAGACAGATATAATGCATTTATAATAGGATTCTTTATTGACAAAGGTAACTTGAATGGCTTAATTAAAAGAAAAGCTGGAAGATGAATTATTTTTATTATTTGCTAAATTATACTCAACTCGTATTCTTGAGATTAACTCATGTTTTAAGCGTGTTATTATTTACTTAAATCACATGAATTAGATGTTCAGGTACTTTTATTATGTTTTAAACAGTCATTTAAAACTACTGTCGCTTTCAGGCAGATGAAGTAAAACAACTTTAATATTGTGGATATTATTGTTTTAATTTATAAGGCGACAGAAAACAATTTTTGTCTAATTAAACTTTAATTGGGAAATGTTTCAGTTTGTTTGCTGAAGACATAATTTGATCAGAATGAGAATAAGGCTTGTACCTTTTTAAGGGTCATATTATTATAATGGTAAAATATTTACTAATCATGCAAAAAAAGAATAATTTTACATTGGGGGGGGGGGGGGGGGGGGGGGAAATCTTCCTCATGTAAGGCCCTAAATAATCCAATTTAAAAACATGTTTCCATCTGAAGTTTCATTTTTTACTTTTAGAATTCCATATTTTATGTTCTAAATATATATTTTTTGGAAAAAGCAAATTAAAAATAAGGAATTTGTGTGAAAAAATCTCAAAGGTGATTTCATTCTTTCCCTATAAGTGCTTCTACCATTTTTCTCCACCAGGGAGCAGTATGCACCTTCTGCACTGATCATGACCACAAGCATCCCAATTGGCTTCCCAGACCACTCTGAGCCTCTATTAAAAGCAAAACCAGTGTTGGACATTATTAGGCATGTGGGCAAATTGAACAATAAAAATGAGAGAAAAGCGTTGATGAATATCTGGCAATAGCAGCCTGCATCATATTTATCACAATAAATGGTAATAAATAAACAAAATAAATCTTTCAGGTGTGTTAAAATCTCTTCTTCTCTGACCTTGTGCTTTAAAGACAGCCGGTTACAGACATGACATCATCACTTTGAAACACTTCCACCCGGTTACTGTCCTGTTGAATCAGTTCCACAGACGGAGAGCGTTATCTGCGGATGAGTCGACAATGCGCCGTCAATGCTCGCTGACATGTTATTCTTATCAGCTCAACAGCTATTGAAGTGCCATTTTTGAGGTGTGTGGGCCCCCTTTCTGAGCTCAGACGGGATTCTACAGACCATTGTACTGTAAACTAAATTGAAGAGATGAAGGAGAGGAAAGCGAGAGAAAAAAACAGGACGAACATCAATGGAATCGATTTACAACCCTCTTTATCTTGCATGAAAGCAGGTAGAAATCACACAATCTCTGCTCACTGCACAACACCAATGTCAGTCAGATCAATAGAAATTGACCCTTGTACAAAAGGGCCCCCAGTTGTGTGGATATGTCCCCATTGGCAGAGTACATTGTCTGGTATTAAATTTTCATCACAATACCTTTGAATGCAGGGCACAATCACCCAACTGCAAATGACACTTTTATATTTTGCAGCGAGGCAAAGCCGTTTTAGTATTCACCGTGTGTAGCCACAGTGCAGCCGCACATGTGATAGCCTCTGCGTGGCTGTCACACAGCTTAAATTAGGATCAGGGTATGTTTGTGGGAACGAGTGGACAAATTCCTTGAGAAGATGCATATCACTTGCCACTTTTCACGTCAAAAGCTGTGTTTCAGCACTAAATGATGTCACTGATTGGCGCCAAAAGGCGTCAATTGAAATGAATAACATTAAATGTTTTTTCTATCACTGTGCGACGTAAGAAGCGGCATTCAACGGCGAGTAGAATCACCATTTTTTGCGGCACACTTTAAACCACCACATTGTAGGGGTATTCCCGCTGCATTTTTCTGCTTTGGGAGCTTTTAGACATCGTCTAAGCAGCTTTTTACCCTTTCATTCTACTTCACAGGCAACGCTTACATTTTTTCAAATGCCGGTTGTTTAGTGAAATCTGCCGATATCATTTCCTACTGAGTTACAACCAACCAGCATGAGGTAACCACAAGTGCTGCCCAGCATCTCTAATGGGCCATTTTGGAGTAAATACCCCAACGCAGGTACTCAGTTGGTTCTTGAAATGGCCCGCAAAGTAGTCCTTTTGGGCCAGCCTAGTGAAATGGAGACACTAAATCATTATACAAGCAACATCCGATGAGATGCAGGAAGTAGTCAATGCCTCGCAGCCAGATGCAAGAAAATAACTAACATGCTGCCGTGTGTTAGCTGTGACCAGATTTTCATATCATCCTTCCACCCCTCAGTAGGTAGAAGGTTTGTAACAGTGTCCCGGTTGAACTATGACAGCTGGAGCGCCCACATAGTCTACGCCTCTAAAAGGTCACATATTCACACAAAGGATCGTGGAGGCTAGGAATAAGGTGCATATGGGCAAACAGTGGGGGTCCCAAATTGTCCGCGGTTTCCGTGGTGGCCTATCAGGAGTTTACACACATAGATTTTAATGGACCCTACATGGATTTTCAGAGGGACCCAGGTGGTTTTACTCATAAATGGGCCCATTAACATTTTTGTGGGCCCATATATATTCCATATGGGGCCCACCTATGTTTGCTGGCTGTGACGATACTCACATGTTAAGAAATAATGACGAAATAACAGTGAATGCAGCCTTAGATATTCAGTTTTTTGAACAATTAAGCTGTAACATAACATTTTAGCTCAGTACCTGTAAATTAACTCAGTTGTGTCCATTTTTGTGTTTGCTAATCATGATTAGCTGTAGTGGTCATCTTGAATCTTGTTGGCTACAAAATGTAATCTGTTGTAGACGAACGTTCAGTGATACATACTAGTTTTCTTAAAGCATCGCTGATCCAGACTCAGAGGTCAGTGCACAAAATAGACACATACACTGGTCTCAGATCAGTTATGACAATAAGGGCTAATTAGTTTATTTGCCAATCAACTTGTAAGGCATTACATTTAATTTACAGTCTGTTTAAAATGCTGTCTGGTGTTACTGGTCGTGGTGAAAAATGCTAATGTGTCGATCTGAAACTCTTAATGAAGTAAGTTTTAAGTGCCAGTACAGCATCAGTCTTGTGAGTCTAATTGAGATGTTGTGTTACATCAAAGATGCTGGTTCATGTTAATTCTGCTGTAGGTAACACCAAATGTGGTGAACCAAAGAGCCAGAGCCATAGCAACAGTAACCAAGGAGGAGTGGACAGGGCTCAGCAGTCAGCTGCAGTCCAGTAAAAATCTTTTCACAAAGTAATTGTGGTTTAGTTGATGGACCATGTTGAACTACGTGACCTACAGTCGATTGTTCTCTGGACTCTGCTCCAAGCAGGAGATGTAATCTTATAGTAAAGATAGAGAAGATGATGCGTCATGACAGATGCGTTGGCGTCATTGACAGGAGTTGTCAATCAGAGGGATTCATTGACCCTAATGTTCTGCCAGAGTTACTTTGACATGGTTTTTTTTGTGGTCCTGGTTTACCTTCTATCAAAAAAAAAATGCTTTCTGGGAAAAGCAGGCAACAGAACTGGCTGTTCTGAAACTGTGATTTGTTCCCAAACATGATGTGAGAATTTTATTTTTGTCCCTTTAGATGTCAAAAAAACTGAAGTCCTGCAGATTTGAATTAGAGGATATAAAACAAACTTTATGCTGCCAATAAAAGTATTTTTTAAAGATGAGGTTCATTTAGAAACATATAATACTTGTTTTTTTTAATGCAATGGTTAACTATGAGTTTACACACATGAAATAATTTCTTCTACCCCATAGCCGCCAAACGACAATAGACGGGGAAACGCTACGGTCAGAAAAAGATCACAGGAACATATTTGACAGGTTCATGGACTCGCCCACCTTGGCTTGCGACTGCAAAGGCTGTGTTGATTTAACGGCCAGGAGAGAGCAGCTAGTAGAGCTTGGCCAAAAGCTAACCATTATCATTAGCAGCTCCACAACATAGCCAAACACATTCAGGCTTGTGTTATTTGTGGTGATTGCACATCAGTGTTGCACTTTTTACTCAAGAAAGAAGAGCGAATGAAAGCAGTGGAAGAGTCACATTGTTGTTAGCCAATCAGAGATGAGATGTTCATAATTATCAACGAGTAAGACTTCAAATCTTGTTGTTTTATTCCCCACTTCTCTGACAAAATTCTACTTCCTGAAACAGGAGTGCCAGAGCTTTATTTATTTATTTATTTATTTATTTTTACAGAAAAAGACTCAAGGGATTCCTTTAATCTGAAGAACACATATTTATTGAATTAAGGAGTGCATTTATGTATTTTTCTCACATAACTGGGACTGTCGGAGAAGCTAAATCATGATAAAATAGGTGTTTGTGCATTTTTCCTCAACACAATTAAGTTTTAACTGATTTATTTGTAATTCATTCACAAATGTATCCTGCTTGAACATCGGAGTATCTTTTCTTTTGTCTTTAATCAGTCCCAACTTAAGCCAGCGTCTCTCTCACCCAGTTGTGACTGTTGGAAACTTATAGAAAACACAAAACTTTGAGAACATCTTCAACATTTTTGTGCAACCAAAATTGGATTGGTACCAGGTTATAAAGGGGAATTTTCAGGGAAAATACTAATACAGGAAGAAGTGTCGAACACGAGAGTTTCCTGCCAAAATGGGAGACTTGACAGGTGTTTTAAATT